AGTTTTCGACATCACTTAGGAAACACCCTGCGTATATGTATCTCTCTTCTTATCGTCTCAACAAAAAAATATTTGACAGGTCTAAAGATTTCTTATCATATATGGATTTTTAGAGTAAATTTTCAAGTCAATCTCCGATAAGATAGCGTTTGTAAGAATTGTTCAGAATAAATGATGATTATTAACTGGTTAACTTGTGAATTATTGAAGAGATAATAAACCTCGACTATTTATATAAATATCTGAACGATCACCCCTCCCCCTTGTGATATAACATTAAATTTACAATTTGTTTTATATTTCATAAATTAGCGTACTCTGTAATGCAATTAGAATCTAGAACTGTTCTTTTCCTACGGTTGTCATTCATATGGACAACACAACATGAACAATAGCAATTAAAATGCAAATTTAAATGAAGTATCACATTGTAGATGAATATACGCAACGTCCAAATAATAAGTCGTAACTTTAGTGTCATAGATTGACCGTCAAAACTTTGGCAGTCGCATGAACTTCGATAACATGATACGTTCATATATGAAATAACTTGTGTTTATAAATTATTATATAATTCGATACTAATATGTCGTTTTGACATTTTGACACGCATATTTCCTAGAATTTCTGTCGCTCCAAATTACACATTAGATCACTGAAGCGGTATTAAAGTAAAATGCATAAAAGAATTTATGTACATTATATATTTATTCTATTATACATGAGATAATTGTGTTCCATTTAGTGAATCTGTCATATGTGCATACGTATATGTAACAGAAAGACCCCTTACAAACCACATAACTAAGTCTTTATAGAATTTAATATGTTCTAATATGTTGACACATCGAATATATGCATAACAGTTACATAGTTTAATTAATCGAGATGAAAGATTACCTTACTTTTTAGTCGAAACGTATACAGATTGATCACCGTCCTAGCGACTCGTGTAACCGTATCAATAGAATATATTCAAATAATAAACTTTTGATTATTCAACAAAATGTATAAATGTCGAAGTAAGCCATGTCGATTGAGCAAACCGGCATGTCTCGGCGAAAACCAGCGACCCGACTGTTCTTCATTCGCTTTTCTTTACCGCGTCACCCTTATCTTTCCACGACAAGGTACACGTCCCGTTCTTGCATTCCTTTATCAAATCTGGACACGGTCGATCCTCCTTGGCCTCCTGTCCCTTATTCCTCAACTGCCACCACTTGATCAGTAACGGTTGTATAAGGAACCTCCATATTATTAGGATTATAGGAACCGCAAAGCATGGCACGCACACCATTCTGTATCTAACTTATTTATCTAAAATTATACAGGAAAGCAATTTTTGTTTTTGTTTATAGAGAGAAACAGAAATGACGGATGTCCGTCTCGGAGCGACCGATACAGCATCCGCAGCTTCGCGCGGATCGTCGATAAATCACGGTGGTTTTTCATTATCGTCACTGCGTTTGCCGTACACGCTCACTTCCGGACTGGCGGAAAGAAAAGTGATTCTTACCTCGGGGAAGAGGCAGAGAAGCGACGTTATATCGAGCCTCCACGGGACAACAATCGGGCGAATGTGAGAGAGATCGATACGTGCATAACCTGGACGAGATCGTGAATTAGTATGCCTGGAATGTTCCCGAGGAATGCAGAGAATATGGCTTTCAGCTGTGAGAGCCGAGGTGATCGCGCAACAATTTAAAGATCACTCCGCTAGATATAACCCCTCCGAACGTCGACTCGCCCCTTTAACAATTCTTCGCTTGACCTGTCACTCGCGTGATCTGTATACACGACACATCCGTTTTATTCGCCTGTCGTTCGCTAGCGCCGCGCCGTGCGCGACTAGGGTCGGACTAGTGTCAAATTGGCGCGCGCAGGTTACTAGCTAGTCTGGGCGACTCCGATCAAACTCCCGGCTAATTTAAACGGCGATTAACTTGTCGAGCAACGTTTGCATTTTGTTAACATGGATATAATGATATTTTGTCGTTTAATGTCCGTTTCTATCAAATGTAGATTGACTTTAATCTCGGTTTGACTTATTTTTTATTTTTTTCATTTCTTAAAACTGGAAAAAAATAAAAAACAAAACATTGACAGAAACATTGAAGATATAGAAAAGGAGATTTAATCAAAGGTGACGAAATTTAATTAGAAATTTCACAATAATTCGATTGAATTAGTCTCCGATTAACTTATCAAGTACACTGTTAAATATTAAAAGATAAAATTTAATACCTTGAGTTAAATAATATTTTGTTAATTTTTAACTACCATGTGTGTTAATTGAGATTTATTATTCTAACACAAAACAGTATTATTTAAACCCTATTGGTTTAGTTAAATTGACGACATATTGAGTAAAAGCAGTAGTAGCATGGTTTAAAATGACTCAAATTAAGTATAACATGACACTGCGAATTTAACAGTAATATTTTAACGCGGACGTAATTATTATTCATTTGTTGCTTAATGTATAGAAACAAAAAACAATTAGATCAGGGACAGTGAATTAAATTGTGAATGCAATTTTGCTTTGAACAATTCTGTTAGTTAAACTGATCGCCGAATCAAGTTAATCGGAGTTTAGCCAAAGTCACCCCGGTTCTATGTAGGTACCCGTTTTTTTTGCCGCGCGACGTCAATCGACTGGTAACGTTATTAGCGCCTGCCTCTGCAAGAGAAGTCTAATTTATCCATATTTAACACAATCGTGATGCGGTGTAATACGCATGCAAAAAAGAACATGGTCACAGCCATATATCGTGATTGCAGGATCTTATCCTTGGATTCCACACTTAAATGTGTGTAAAATATACATATATTTATATTTATATATGTTATAAGGTACTGAAAGAGATATATTACGAAACGAGAGTATCTGTATCGCAAAATATTTGTGGTAAGAGCTGCTGAAATATTTAATGTGTTTTCATGTCTATTTCACTTTAATCTCGATTTTTTAAACTTACTTTTTATCTTTTTCTAGTTCTAAAAATTAGAAAAAAGATAAAGTAAGTTGAACCGAGATTCGTCAACCCGACGAATCAGTTCCTTCATGCGAGTAAGTATACTCTCGGATGAACATTAGATCGCGGATAAGTTCTTTCCATTTGACTCTTACATGCTTCCAAACACCTTGCGACCCCTCGTTACGGATAACGAGACGACGACGACGCTCAACACGAAGAAAACCAGACCGAAGAGAGTGGTCATGGCTCTGCACCATTGCCGCTTCCGTTTCGCTCTCGCGATCATCCGGCCTAGACGCTCGGCCTGCGTCACGTCGAGCGTGAAATCAAAATCCTCTCCCAAGCCACGAACGGCCAAGCGACGATTCCAACCGTTCGCGGTCGACGAGGCGATCGTTTCTTCGGCGGACGACCCGACGTCGCTGCACTCCAGCTGCTGAAACAACGTTCCTCCATGTAGCGCAACTATATACACGCTTGTACGAAACAAGTCAATTGGGACGTAATTAATTGGACAACGTAAATCCGAAAAGTCCTCTCTTTTCAAATAGTCACGCTAATTGAGCTAGGCGGAACGTACTCACCGTCGAATACTTCGACTCGGTTTCGCAAGGCTTCTTTCTCGCGAGGCCGGAGCTCCTTCTCGTCTCGCTGTCGCCTTCGCGTCTCGTCGTCCTGTCGTTCTTGAGCGACGGCGCGGACCGCGCCGAGTTGTACCCGTAGAGGCAACGAGGGCTGACGTAGAGTTTCGAGTTGATTGGATTCACTCTCGATGGCACGTTCTTTAAACAGCTCGGCCATATCGATGAATTCTTATCGTTGAAAGCCCAGGGTGGGCGAACGTACTCGTACACGTTGTCGTTCCTCGTGCCGATCTCCAGAGAGACGATCCGCGAGATATCGCGCAAGATCTCCTCCGGTGCCGCCGTGACGTTACCGTCTATCACAGAATTGAGGGTTTGGGATAATTCGAGCAACACCTCGCGCGCTCTTGACGATGATGAAGTCGGCGGCGGCGCGGGCGGCGGTGGCGAATAGTTATACGTGCAACCGCATACCCGACACGTATAAATACCTGTTACGATAGAACAGAGACGCTTCGATAAGCGAGATTTTCGAAAAGTGAAGATGTATGGGTGTCATCGCTTTCGTTCTGAACGCTTTTCATCGTTACCTTCGTAATCGCCACCGCGATCTTCGGCGTGATGATAGATGACGGAGGGCCAAATGGGCCGCGGAATCGCCTCGCTCTCGTGAATCACCGCCAGGCCGCCGTACGACGGATCTCTCGTCGACGCTGACGCGTAATAGGAATACGAGCCGGCCGACAACGGCGGCGAGTGGCTCGAGTAACCGGAGCTGGTCGACGTTCTGTAACATCTTCGTGGATTATTGCGTGACGCCGTTGACTTGCCGCCTACGATGCCGCTCACGAATTTCGAAATTTCAATGTCCGCCAAGTCCGATCTTATCCTGGAAAATTATTCGAGTACACTGTTAAATTCATAGTGTCAATTGTTATACTCAATTTGAGTCATTTTTAACCAAGTTATTTTCTATAGGTCGTCACCGCTCTTATTCAATATGTCGTTAATTAAACTTTAAATCAATAAAGTTAAAATAATACTGTTTTTGTGTGAAAATAAAATAAATTTCATATGGTAGTTAAAAATAACAAAATGTTATTTAACTCAAGGTATTGAGTTAAATTTCATTCTTTAATATTTCTTTGTAACAGAATAATAGTATATACAATACTCGCATAATAGAAAACGTACAATGAATATATTGTTAAATAATTTTATTAAATTGGAACAAAAAAGGTATATGTCGTATATATTTCTCGCATAAAGTTGCGATTAGATAATTTTATGAGAATCGAGAAAATCATCATTCGGCTATCAAAATGTATCTCTGAGAAATAATTTCTTCAATCTTTTCTTGAAAGAGACTAGTAGAAGAGCGACAAACTTCTTACGATTTCAAGTAATAGCGACTAGGTAAAAATCCACTTGTTTCTGATCTTTTCATATTTCTTTTAGGAATTCTAAAAGTATAATGATTCGAATCCTACCACTCGATCTCGTATGTAGGCTCGATCGTAGGTGAGAGAGACGCGGTGTAAACGCGCCTGTCGGCCTCCGCACCTTCGGGATCGATCCGACTCCTGGTTCCGGGATCGCGCGGGACCGCCACTCGCCTCGCTAGGCCGGCACTCGGACGCATCCCCCGACGGCACTCGGTGGCATTCGGACGCTACCGCACGGATCGGATGCAGGCTCGTCCAAGGCCAGTAACCATCGCTGCATGCTCGATCAGCTGCGCTTTCGTCGTCGACGGACCTCGTAGCTTCCTGCGAGAACATAATAGCGATCGGTCTTTTCTGCCTCTCGAAAGCGAATCGCGCTCCGGCTTGCTTTATGTATTTATATACACGCGTGCATTTAACCAGACGATCTTATCGAACGCGCGCGTGCGACGGATGATCCACGTTTCAAGGTCGCTTTCACATTCGTTGTGTTCACGTAAGAAATCGGCCGACGTAAAGCGCCTATTACGTTATTCGGAACGTGTCGAACGAGCGAGCGTTAATGGAGGTCATCGTTGTCCTTTTTCATCAAGCTTACGTTATTCCCGATTGCGAATGTTATTCGTTTCTCCTCCCCTCCGGCTCTCCTTCGCGCGCGCGGCGTTATCGGTACCCTCGGCACGAGGCGAGCGGCTCCTCTCCTCTCCGGCGCGGCGTGTCAAATTTCGTCAACATGACGTACGAGGAGAAGAGAAAGCGGATGTGCGAGAATAGCCCGCTTTCGAATTAGGTCAACATGAGTATTGGAAAGTGCCCTTTGTATTCGTTGCGTTAAATTCCGTTGCGCGTGTCGTTCGCCACGATATACACGACATATCCAATTACCCGCCCGCCACTCCGTTTTTTTTTCCTCATTTCTCGGTCCCAGTCGTGATTCTCGAGTCCCTCCATCGGTAACAATCGATCGGTCGTTCGCAGATCAACGTCCTTACAACAAAAGCTACGTGTTGTTGTAATTACCCAGGGTACGTGGATCAATGTACATGCCGCAGCACCCGATTGTCGTACATTCCATCATCGGCACCCGGACGGTCAGCAGCCAGTCACTTTCACATCAGCGCGACACGTTCGCCAATGTTTACGTATTATAACACCGTGCACCCTGAAATATCGCACAACATTAATAAAAGTTACGCGCGAAAGAGGAACGATCCTCCCATAAAGCGATCAATGATTATTCTCAGCGAACAGCGATTCGAGTTATCTCTGCACGAGAACGCGGTTACTTTCACAAATTCTTCTCAAGTTCGTCGACTCAGACTGACAATTAATCCATAATTCAATACTTTCTTGTTTCTAAATTAAAAATGCGTATTTTTTATGTACACGTGTCAAATCGCGTAACAGATCGTATATAATCTTTTATATAAGTCCACGAGCAACAAGGAAAAGCTTTGAGAGTTAAACGCGCGAGTTAATGCGCTATGTAACATTTAATTAATAATGATTTAATACAAGTTATAAATCGTACGTTTCTACTTTGAGCAATCTTCAGCGACGCGATGATAGATAAATAATCTCAACCTTTCCGACGAGTATAAAGTGAATGTTAAAAATTAACAAAGATAGTTAACTTCAAGAGAAAATACCATAAAATTCTGCCAATATTCATAATCTGCAAAATATTCGGCCTAGAAATGAAAATTGGGACTATAACCGGCAAAGAGAAGTTTTGTATTAAATTATTAATTAAATTTACATAGAGCGTTAACTCGCGATGCTAACTAGCCACGTTTGACTCTCAAAACCTACTTTTCCTTGTTGCTCATTTTAATATCGAGAGGGTCTATAGTTAATTAATTATTAATTTTTATATAAGTGTCAAAAGACGAACTGGGATGAAAAACAGACGCAAACACGGCAATTATTTAGTTATTTACGCGAACGCACGTCGTCGTACGTGGGTTGTAGCATCCAAGCCGGTTATGAGAATACGTTTTCGCACGTCTGGTCTGGAATGATAAAAGCGTAGCCAGGCCTTTTCTAAACTTGAGTCACGGTGCCGCCTGCATTCGCGGCGACGATAACGATCTTCGACGTCGGCCGTTGACGGGTGTCGCGCGCGCGAAAGAAACAGCGCGAGATCTTAGCATATTTTCTCCTCGGAGAGTTTCGACTGCCTTTCTACGTCTGGCGGTTGTTACATATATACGCACGCGAGGGAAGATATCACACGGCGGAGACATGCGCAACGTGTTGGACCGCCTAGCAGCCCGCGGAACGAAACCGCGAAAAAATATTTGACTCACGGACTTTCACTCGCACTCATTCAGGGCCGTCGTCGGAAAAAAAGATCATCACCGGCCACGCCGACCGTGCCGCCTCGCTTCGCCAACGGTCTCTCTCGTTGCTCTCGACCGGGGGAGAGCCCCGAAAGATCCTCGCGACCGCTTTCGCGGTCGTCGAAAGTTTCTCGCGCGCGCGAATGACATCTCCGGATCGTTTACGGACATATACGGATCCTTGACGGAATCGCCACCGTTTACGGCATCGCGTTCCGTAAACGTGTGGGATCTCCTGAAACGTCTCGGGTGATCCCGATCCTCTGGCGATCTTATGGACCCGTGACCCGTGTGATAGCTTAATATACAGGTTTGCACGATCAGGATCACCGAGCGATTAGAAAAAGTTTCCAAGCGGTTTTATATCTCGTTTCCTCTCGTCTCGTCCTTCTTTCTCCCACGTCGATTCAAATATCCATATAATCCGCCGTGAAGCGAAAATGCCAACAACTCGAGCCGATACTTTCGTTTTCGAGCGGTGTTCGATACGCGACAGATCCCGGACTGTTACTTGGAGAACGAAGGAGCGACACGCCGATTCCAATTGCAACACACCGACATACCGTACCACAGGTTCCGAAGTGCTTGGTATCTATAATACATGAAGAAAGAAAGTGACTTGATTGCTGATTAAGTAACGCTCACAGAAATAACAATAGTGTTGAGATTTCTCGCGGTAGTGCCGCAAATAACGAAGTAATATAATTATTAGGAGGAAGATGCGTTTTCCCTCGCTCCCTACCGAGGGTTTCTTTCTCGCGCGCAGCTCGCGAGAAGCGCGAGGGTTTCTTTCTCGCGCGCAGCTCGCGAGAAGCGCGTGCACGGTAATCGCTGTTCTAAACGCGCGGGAAGGATCCGTATTCGGTAAACGATCTCGTTCATCGGTTTTTTTTCTTACGTGTTCCGCCGCGCATCGCGTAATTACGCATATACCTTTCCGTCCTTCTCTTTCTCACATCCTTCTGCTTCTCATCTCCGTATCCGCGCCGTGCGCGCGGAGGATGCGTGCACAAACGGCGAACTTTCACACGCGCATCACGTCGATCGCGTCCGCTGCCCGCGCTCGCGGCGGTCCAAAAGAAACTGAAAGACTCCACCGGCGATCAGCGGCACGACACCGTCCGTCACCGCCACCGAGATCGCCTCCTTTCGTCCCGTGGGGGTTGTATCCGGTTGTTGATCGTCTCTCCTCCTCCATCCCCGCCGTTGCATGCCATTCTGTTTATTACTTTCCTTTATGCTTTTTCTTTCTTTTTGCACTTAATTCTGGTTTCGCGTGTTTTTCTAGCAAAATAAAAAATGAATGGAATATTTTGTACTTCAGGCATACGTTTCTATTATAAATAAAAATATATTTATAAATATATATAAATTGTCAAAAAATATATATGTACATATACATATATATTAATAGCTAAAATTATGAAAATGAAAATTCTTTTATTTTCTTTAATTTTGGATGTGAATTTATATTCACGGACATATTATTTTATTTTATATATACATAATTTTACAAACATATATATGATTTAAAATCTATCTGATACAGTATATGATTAGGGCTGCGTTCCTTTTGACGCTTTAATTCAGCGCTGTAAGCATCGTCTTCGCTGCTCATCGAATATCAAACGAATACCTATCAAATGGAGCGATACTTTCGGCGTTGAAGGAACGCAGCCTATAAGAATATTAATTTTCGTAATATCAGCTCGAGACCCTATTCGAAATAAATCTTCAAATAATTATTTTGATTTTTTTTCGATATTCTGGGATTCGAATTTCAACTCTCACCACCTCTCCTCGAAATATTCCTCATACGATCGTTTCGACGATTGCTCGAGAATCGTCGAAAGGCGCACGTCCAAACTTTCATTATTCCTTATCGAAACGTGCTGTCCCGATGAACGTCGACAATTTTCCGAGGCCTTCCACATGTTTTCGCACGAATTTGGCACGGTACTTGAACTTCTCAGAAGGTATATACCTTCGACGAGCGCAGCTTCAACCTTCAACCCTCGCGCAAGTCCACCGACAACGACCGACAATGCGGACAATGGATTCTTCTAAACAATATAAACACAGTAAACACAACAAAACTTCTGTAGTGACTTCGACCAAAAAATCGCGAGTAGCTGTCGAATTAGCTAATCGGAGGACGCATAGTCGATTGGTCGATTTGTATACCGCGGTGCCTTTCGAGGGCGCTACACGGCGCTCGCGACATCGCTGCGTTCCGCAACACGTCGGAAAGCGTCTTGACACTTCTGCTGCCGTGTGTTACGTGCACGTGACAAGCGATTGACGGTTTCGCGAGTGTTTTTCGTCGAGAAACGACTTGGGCATTGCTCTCGAGCTCGTTAGAACATTTAATTTAGTTTACCTCGCGCGTACTTTTTGCCTCACGAGACTTAACCGACACGTCGACCACTTGTCGGCGATAACGATGACGTATCTGAGCTCGTGGGAGGAATTCGAAAGGGGCGCCGAGAGGTTATATCTGCAGGATCCGATAAACGTACGTTTTGACAAGATTATTATTGTATTTTCTTTGTCGTCATTGGCGCCGTTTACACTTTCGATACACCCGGCGGTAACGAGAATCTCGCAATCTGAAAATACTCGCTTATTGAATTTGTAATTAATTATTATTTACATTTGTGCAAAGAACTAAAGAGTAATAAAGATATACGCGAGATATTTTCTTTCACAAGCTTCTGTTAACTAATTATATTTATCTTAATTTGTATTGTTCCCGCATAATGTAGTACAAGACCATGTTTGTGCTTCTTTTTATCAATTACTTTTGATTTTCTTTCGCTGTTTGGTATTGTAATGAAAGCAACGCGATAAGAAAGAAAAAAAGCAATAACATTGTGATCTGATACCATATGGTGTATAAAACTGCAAATTGTATTACTACAATGCGAATACAAATAACTATTTACAGACTCAATCAGTTGACTTCTCTTTCCATTTTATTTCAGACTCGGTATACGATGAAGTATTGCCACAGTAAAGGGGTTTTGTGTCTAAAGTTAACGGACAATCGACGGGTAAGCGATCTTAGAAATGTATCTTATGATTGAGGAATATAAGCCGCTTATATTTCTTTCTGCCGTTAATTCTTCATCGTTAAGAACGTAATAATAAAACAGTAATTTAAAATTGCTTGCAGTGCCTCCAGTATAAAACGGAAATAGCTCAGGACTTGAAAAAAATGGAAAAATTCATAGGCAATCTCATGAGACACATGGCGTCGAAAGACAGTTAAATGAGACTTGTGTATGTAGAAATATGTTCCTCGTGAAGACTAAAGACGTACTGTTTTTATTCAACAAGTTTTTTCTTCTCGTCTCACATGATCCAACGACTGCGGTCCACAGATATCAATTTTAATTAAGGTAATGAACGTTATCTTACATGTACCAACAAGTGCATATAAAACTGTTTCATTTTGTATTAAAGTTTTACAATTGTTTCGGGTGGCTCCGTTGCCTTCTCGTTAAAGTTCTGAAACAATCCCAAATTCATCGTGTAAGTTAAATCGAGCGACACCAAGGATATAATATAGAGAGAACTTTTCCAACGTTTATATAATGTATTAACTTTTTTGATATATATCCAAAGTTATGTCCTTAAGTATGTGATGCATATTGTATTAGATATTAATAAAGCCAGGTATATACAAGTCAAATCGAGATCTGATTTTAATACTTTAGAGAAAAGAAAGCACAAAGCGACAAAAACAAGCACTTACGATATAATGGGTTGGAGAACAGCGTCCAGAGTAGTGTCAACAGGAGGGTAGATTTCTTGATTTGAAGGCAATTCATAGTGTACCTCTCCCCCTAATTGCAATTGTGTCTATACCAAACAAAACCGTTTTACTAGTCTACTATTTAGAGGAAACAATATCATTCCACATTACGTCATTGCTTCGTAAAACGAAGCTACTGTGTAATTACTAGCATGCATATACGAGAACTGTGTCGCTGGAAAGGATTATGCGCGTTTCTAATGCCGATATCTTAGAAATTTGTTGATGTAATTGAAAGCCAAAACTTGTGCGAGGACGAGTAGGAATACCTCAGCCATATCTGTATATAGAAGTACTTTGTGTTTTTTCTTGTAAAAAAAACATGTGTGATATAAATATTTTGTGAAAATTGAATTTTTGTTTGCGAGAAGTAAGCACGAATTATACTACATGAAATTCGTGCTTACTCGTGAAAACTTTTATCATTCTTAAACAGTTAATTGTAAGGTAAAATACGCATCGCTCGGTCGTTGCTTATTTTAAAACGGATAATTAGCGAAGGTAATGGACATTATATAGTAAAAAATGCGAGCTAGGATACGTACTACGTGAATAGGTTTATTGCTGTCGGCAGAACTTGAACAGCAGCTTGAAAAGTCCTGCGGCGTGCTTTCCCCGAGTCCACTGTCCGCATTATTCCCTATTGACACTCGGTTGTTACGAGTATAATAAAAATCCCTCCTCGTGCTATATTCGTTTCGAGCCTCGGGATACTTTGCCTCGACTCGATTGGACGTTGCCGACAGCAAGTTATAACTTCCATCACGATAATGCCGCATGAGTCTTCTCTCTCTTTTGCCAACGGATCCGACAGTTCTGAAAGGGAATCCTTGACAGTCTCTGGCACCTCAGTCGTTTTAGCGACCAGCGGGTCCACTGTGCGCTCGACTCAGATCGATGTCTTTTTCTTTCTTTTTTGTTTTGTTTTTGTTTTAGTATACATACAGTTAATATACACACATTGGCTATATATATTCTCACGATGCATACGTTATTAAGATTCAATAACATAAAATCAATCACAGACTCCGTTAATGCATTCGTTTTTCTTTGTAAACTATATATCGCGGCGCATTTTAAAGCGTAATTTTCTTGAAAATACAAAACAAGTTGCAAAACACAAAATGCACAAGATGCGCCGGATACGTGTAGGGAATCGAATGGGATATACGAGGAATGTCATAAGAAAGACTCGGAACATGAAGTGTCCCGAGCCTCTGAACGTTGACATCATCGTCTGTCCTCCCAGATACCAATATTTATTACACAAATACATGGCGCATACCGTATATAATATACATAATGCATGAGAAATAAAAAAAAACACGAATAAAATACGACCCCAGTACGAAGGCGATCGGCACGCATCGCCTTTGAAATTCCATGGAACACAGCCAGAAGCGAGTAAGTGCCACAGCTAGGACGTAAAAATAAACAGGTGCGACAAGCAGTTAATCTCACTTATTTATTAAGGATCCGTCATGCTTCAAATAAATAATAGGGGGCATGCTTAAAGTAGATCATACATGCTCGAAATAAATAAAAAATACATGCAAGGGAGATCGGGGTGGGTGGGTGAGGTGTGGTGGAGAGTGAGGGGGTAACTAAACAATGACTACGGATCCCGTCTCATCCTCCAATTGCGGAGGATGGCTGTGGAGATTGCAGGCCGTCTTGAGATCATCGTACCTAGGCAGGGACGATGAATCTGTGTCGTCCAATCGAGAATTGTTAGACTGTAAGGGAGATTGCTGTACAGATTGCGACTGTACTACCGTGTAGGATATCTCTCGACGTTGTTGCTCGCTCATCCCACTGGTGTCGATTAGGCCAAATTCCAAATGTCTGAAAGAGAACACGTTATACATTTAATATATCATTCATATTTTTTATATTATTCACAAAACACATCGACAAACTGTCTGTATTCATAAAAGCATATATTAACAAAGGTAAAATTTGTTTAGCAAATTCAAGTTGCGAGAAACATCAGAGAGAAAAATCTATAAATTGTTCTCCGTGGCCTGTGGAAGCATGTCGCGAATATCTTGTGAAATTGCAACGCTATAATATTCATAGTATTTAAAATATATAATATATGTACTTTCGAAGTTCATCCGGCAATTGCTGCTTCTGAGAAGGACTTCGATGTCTGCTTCTGTGTCTTCTTCTAGGCTCCGTGTGACTTACCTACGGCATATTAGCTGGTCAAATATTATAAACAAAGCAGTCTTGCGTGTCAGTAGTGACCCACAGTAATGATACTTACGATAGCTTTTTGCACGCCTTCTCCTTTCCGTTTCTGAGCCTCTCTCCATTGCGGCTCCGAATCTACCAACTCGTGTCTACTATGAAAAATAACATTATTGGATTAAATTAACACTTATTAATCTATTCAATAAAAGAAAAAATCCTATAGAAAGGATCTTTTTATTAAAGAGAGATATATGCAAAAATAATGATATTAACGAAGGTCAATGAACTCCGTCATTGATGGGAACAAGACTTATTATCATCAAACTGTTTTAATTACACACTAATGCTCATAAGGGTTCGCGATTTGCATTTATCAGGAAGGTACTTTACTTACGAGACAATCATGAGAACGAGATGTTATCGCGATGAGAACGAACGTAACGCTACGTAAGGCTAATACGTAAACGTACCTAGAAGAGCGGGAGTTCCTGTGTTTTCTGCGATGTTTTCGATGACCGGATCTCGTATCTGAACCTCTTGAAAGTTCAGACTCGCAGTCGGAATGTCTGCTGTGTCGACGATGACTATGACTATGACTTCGCCTACGGTGACCACTGCGACTATGACTATCCCCCGAACTCTGACTTTCCACCGAGCTGCTCCGACGTTGAAGTCTACTTAAGAGCTATGTCGACAGACAGCGTTTAATAGGCAAATGCAGAAACTTTATAATGAATAGTGTGGCTATGCTTAACCCGTCAACAGAGTTAATTTTTGTTGTACATTGTGCCGCGTGCGTCATCATCGTTTGAGCAGACGTTGTGATCAACTCTCCGCGGCGGGTTAAGCATAGCCGTTGGAACATGAGCGAGTATGACGTGTCAACTAACTGCCGGCGCCGTTCCCGCGGAGCGAACGGAGCGAGGACTAGACGAGGTGTAAAGGCCGCGGGGCTGAATCTGTGTCCACGGCGCGCTTCTCGTGCTTCTCGGACTCGAGGTGTTCATCTGCCTTTGCGTATTGCACAGTATGTTGCCGCTGGATGGGTTGTTGCCCGGACTCGAGATCACGGTAACGGGTGTTTCGACGAACGAACCGACCATTTCTTGACCTTCGACGACTCGTCTCTGCGCTCTTCGACTCGGAGTCCTTTGAAACGGCGGTGGATTTCGTCTAATGGCCGCGTGCTTCTCCAAAGTGGACGGAGGACTGTACGAATGAAAGCGAGAGTATGGACTAAGTGGCGGTGGGCCGGTCGCCATTAATCGGAAAAAAGCTTGATGCTCCAAGCAACATTTCCAGAGGTGACGGCAGGCTCCTTTCGACGGTGTTTCGAAGCCGTGCGTTCTCTCCTCAGAATTCTTTTCGCTTACCCTCAGCATGAAGTACCTCCCCTGAAAGATAATGCAACTCGTTTCGGCATATCGTAAAACCAGAAAGAAATACAGAGGAAAAATCAACATTCGGCAATAGGTACTGTATCATGTTTTTATAAGCGTTTCATTGTTTTATTATAAAACCAATTCTCACAAATGTGTATTTTTTGTAATGAAGGCAAAGATAATATGAACCACTATGTTGAAGATTGCGTTAAGACAAAGGAATGGTTTACAGTATTAGGAAAGGATAGTAAAGAAAGGTTGGAAAAACTTTGGAATGATAAATTGGACACCACCAAAGCGAAGGTATTGTTGAAAGTCGTTAGGGAAAGGAATGCGAAAGAAAAAGAAGATAGATATAGAATGTCATTAGGCTATGAGATAGGCTGTGAGGATAGAAGATAGTGCAATAAGATATAATGGTATAATTTATAATAGGATTTTGGATATTTGTGTATGCGTGGATTGAATGCAAGTATGAGTGATTAAGGATTGATGTAAACCAAGTCCACTTTCTGGCTGTATTGCTAAAGTTAATAAACATATATATATAAAACCAATTCTCGAATTTGTTTGAGAGATGAATACTTACGAGAGAGAAAGACAGCAGGTCTAGCGAATTAACAACATTGCCGAAATTACACCTTATAGCCTTATAGTTATATTATACCTTATAGTATATTTTATTTATCCGAGGCCAATAGTAATTTCCCACTTTGGTCTTGTTGCGTAGCAATATTATTCCGCTCGGTGTTAGGCCCAGAAAATATTCCACGCTATCCTCGCCCTGCGAACGAAAATCGTATGATTTTATCAGAGATTAACGCGTACGATCGCAATGTCATATCAACGTTAGTAATAACGCTTACGTACCAATACGGGATGCAAATCTACCCCGTACATTTCCAGCCACTTCACTTTGTCCAGATAATTTAATTCTGCTGCCGAAGGCAATTGTCCTCTGAAAAAGTCACAAATAAATCAATTTTATATTTTTATGCTTGCAATTAGATAAATTAAATTTTTTCCAATTATCTTGACAGAAATATTTATTGCTTAACTCCGCTAAAATAAAATAAAAATATATGGCACTTTCGAAATTTTATTCGCACGATTCGATTTTCTAATATTTTTTATAAAGACTCGAATATTAGTACTTTATAAATACAGAGATTATAAGTTACGGGCTTATGGATAACCGATCGATTGTCCACAACGTAGAAACACTACATCGCAAATGCGTCGGATAGTTCTAACGCACGCTATTCGAATACTAAACGTCGTGGTTGACATACATAAGAG